AATTTAAACGTAAAATTGTCTTCAAATTTTCAACTTAACCTGCATGTAATCAAACCTTCCGTACAAATTACTACATAGCATTTAATAAATAATTAAGTATCCACAAATTAAATGTTATATAAAGCAATGTATACACTAAATGTTGCTATATACGTTTTGCCACAGGTTTTCAAAAAATAAGGGACATACTCAATTTTCACTTATCTCCTCGTATATAAAAGGTCTAAGATCTTGTAACTGTGATCTTAAAACACTACATATGTCACTTCTCTTCGTTTACCTGCAGTGATCATGGATTTAAAGCACGACTTCTGGTCTATCCGTGGCCATATGATATACTTTGCCTTTGGTCTTTTATGTCGTAAGGTTAAGAAGCACAGGGTTAGACTCATACCCGTTGCCATAGGAACTACAAAGCAGTTGGCCACCGAATGGACACCTACAAACAGGAAGCAAAACATCAATAAATTCCCCCATTCAAAACCCAGCATCCTCCCAGGAGAAATGACATATTTCTCTATCAAGTATTAAAAATTATAGCCGCCAGCGCTTCCTTTCCTGTTCTCGATCTCAGGAAGCTCACTGATTTTCTTATTCTAAAGGACTTCTTATTCCTGTGTCTTTTCAAAAGCTACTCAGGAGGGACAGTCACTGAGGCAGAGCAGGTTCGGTGGTTACTTGAGATGCCCACATGTGCTATCAGAGTGCTTGAAACTGAGTCCCTCCTCCACTTCCAATCCAGCTTCCGACAACGTGCCTGGGAGGCAGGATACAGTGGCCCAAGTACTTGGGTTCCTGCTACTCACACGAGAGACCCAGGCGGAGTTTCTGGCTCTTGGCTCCAGCCCGGCCTGCCCTGGACGTTGCAGGCAACCTGCAAGTGAATGAGTGGACAGAAGCTATCTCTCTTTGTCTCGTCTTTTATTTTATTTTTTTTGAATAACAAGATTTATTTATTTGAAAGAGTTACAGAGACACCACAGAGTGAGAGAGAGAGCTTCCACCCGCTGGTCCACCTATCAAGTGGCCACAACACCTAGGGCTAAGCCAGGCCAAAGCCAGGAGCCAGAAGCTTCATCCAGGTCTCCCACATGGATGGAGGGGCCCAAGCACTTGGGGCATCCTCCCCTGCATTTCCCAGGCCATTAGAAAGAAGCTAGATAGGAAATGGAGCAGTCGGGACACGAACCGGTGCCCACCAGTTCTGCCTGCTACGCCACAACGCCAATCCTGCTCTGTCTCTTCTGTCATTCTGCCTTTCAAGTAATTTTTTTTAATCTTTAAAAAAAAAAAAGGGGGGGGTGCAGGGCAGCACAGCAGGTTAAGCCGCACTTGCAGCGGAGTGCCAGTTCAAGCCCTGGCTGCTTTTCTCCCCATCCAGCTCCCTACTAATGCACCTGGGAAGGCAGCAGAGGATGGCCCAAGTGCTTGGATCCCTGCCACCCATGGAGGAGACCAGGATGGAGTTCATGGCTCCTAGCTTTGCCCCAGCCCACACTGGTTCTAACGGTCATTTCAGGAGTGAACCAGCAGGTGAAAAATCTACCTCTCCTCTGTCACCCTGCCTTTGAAATAAATAAATACATAATTTTTTTTTCAAAAGCCACTCATTCTTTTTGTAAAGAGACGTCGGTAAAAGAAATTAGGTAAAGGTGTGTAGTCTGGTCATTGAAAAGTATCATGGCTAACACAGTACCTACCAGCCAGCTTCATGATATCCAGGACCAAAGAATTGGTAATTTTGTTCAAAAGGCTAGAGCCTGCAGCTTTTGGTTGCACAGCAGCAATATCTCCAGATCGTCCAATTCCATGAATGAACCTAAAGCAAAGAACGGGCCAAAGCCAGAGAAACACATTCGGTGTTCTAAGCGATCCAACGTACACATATGGAAATATAGCAACAACAACAAAACACCAAAAGCAGTAACTGACTATTAGATTTCATAAACTATTTTTATTTATTTATTTATTTGACAGGCAGAGTGGACAGTGAGAGAGAGAGAGACAAAGAGAAAGGTCTTCCTTTGCCGTTGGTTCACCCTCCAATGGCCGCCATGGCCAGCGCATGGCGCTGATCCGAAGCCAGGAGCCAAGTGCTTCTCCTGGTCTCCCATGCGGGTGCAGGGCCCAAGCACTTGGGCCATCCTCCACTGCCTTCCCGGGCCACAGCAGAGAGCTGGCCTGGAAGAGGGGCAACCAGGACAGAATCCAGTGCCCCAACCGGGACTAGAACACGGTGTGCCGGCGCCGCAAGGCGGAGGATTAGCCTATTGAGCCACGGCGCCGGCCATATTTCATAAACTATGGCACTGTGCCATAGTGGGCTAAGCCTCCACCTGTGGCGCTGGCATCCCATATGGGTGCCGGATCAAGTCCCGGCTGCTCCTCTTCCGATCCAGCTCTCTGCTATGGTCTGGGAAAGCAGCTGAAGATGGCCCAAGTACTTGGGCCCCTGCACCCACATGGGAGACCTGGCTTTGGATCAGCTCAGCTCCAGCAGCTGCGGCCATCTAGGGAGTGAACCAGTGGATGGAAAAACCTTTCTCTCATCTCTCCCTCTCTCTGTAACTCTCTCTCAAATAAATAAAATCTTTAAAAAAAATTACTGTGCAAATCTACTCTCTTCATGCTGGATGACATTATACACTATATAGATACCTCTGACTACTCCTTAAAAAGGCCCTTTTGTAACTTGATTAGCCAAACAGCATTAATACTAAGTATGATTATTCTCGAACACTAGTGTCATGCTTCCTTACCACCAAAACCTTACACAAGGCGTTATTTTTACAAATGTTAGCCATCTTTTCCGCACATTAATCATGAAAATTTCACTCAAGTTCTACAATCATTATTGTTAGTTCTACACACATTATCATTGTTTTGTTTTTTTTTTAATGTCTTTTATTTGAAAGGCAGAGTGACAGAGAGGAAGAAGGAGAGATCTTTCACTCACTAGTTCATTCCCCAAATGACCACAACAGCCAGGGCCAGACCAGGCCAAAGCCAGGAGAGGGAACTCCATCCAGGACTCTCACATGGGTGGCGGAAACCCAAGTATTTGGGCCACACTCCGCTGCCTCCCAGGTGTATTAACTGACCTGCAAGTGTAGAGCTGGGACTTGAATGGCATTGCCACATGGGGTGTCCCCAGCAGCAGCCTAACCCACTGCACCACAACAGCCACCCCTATTATTAGTTTTGATTGCAATGGTTTTCACGGAGATAAAATTCCACTGTGCCCAGAAGAATGTCGTCATGATTTAAAACCACAGAACTTAGGACTTCTTAAGAAATATCTATCTCTCTCTCTAGAAAGACAGAGATTCTATCTCTAGAGAGAGAGACAGAGAGATTTATCTACCTATTTGTATATTTATCTATCTATCTATATATTTCACAGAAAGGTTGCAGTCAAAGAAATACTCCTAAATGATCACATTTGGAACCAAAATCCATTGAGTGGTTATCAGAATTGATGAAAAGCTTTCTCCCATAATGCAAAAGCAAAAAATGACTGTAACACACCTTTTCCTACACCCACTGCGACAGAGAGGTACTTATAAAATTGGGTTCAATTCAGACCCAACAATGTTTTAACGTTCTAAGTACAAACCATTCTCCGACAGAACCTGAGAAAACATACAACCTTAACGTGTTTTAAACTCTTACATCCCAATGGGTTGGTCAGGTGTCACACCCTCAACAGAGCGTACAGCCTGAGCCGGTCACAGCCAGAACCCGACACGGGGACCACCAAATACCAGAATTTCTGCTCTCCTGGTTTTGAAAAGCACCTGCTCAGATAAAGTGTTTTGCACCCCCCTTTGCACAGGAAAGAAGCGGTTACAGCTTGTAACTTAACGGGATGAATACCGCCACCAGTTTATAAAAAGGAATTCGCGCGAGCCCGCTTCAAGCAATATACCTGTAGTGGCGGCGAGCAACTAAGGCAGAGGCCACTCTCCCCTCCCTTTCTCCCACACCGCAATTGCCCAAGAAATTGTTGCTGTCCATGATTGCGAGTTCATGTAGGAAGAGTTCCACTGTACTTTCATCCCAGCCATCCTCCGGACACTTGCCCTTGGAGAGAGGAAAGGAAAAAAAAAAAGCTTATAATTATATAAGAGAATCAACGATCCCTAAAATCCCACGTCAAAGAATTTCCAACTATTTTGCCATGCCCCTTGCTCTCCAGATGTTAAGACACGAATTCCGCGCTATGAAGAAAACTTCCAACAGGTTATCCACAGGCGGCCAGAAGTGACGCGTGCATGCAAGGTTTACTAAGATTTTAAAATTGCAGCCGGTTACAGTAACTGAGAACACACCCGATCCTCAATGAAGCGTCTTCAAGCCAAAGACGGGGGGTCGTCAGACTCGAGTGAAATTAAGTCAAGGACCGCGGGCCGGGGCGAGCCCCGCGGGGGTCGGGTGCAGGCGCCCTGGCTGGAGCCGGCACACCGTGGCTGGCAAACACCAGGTGTGCCACGAGTCCCCGGGGTGGCGAAAGGAGGCAGGGCGACCTTTGCCCTCGCCGCAAACAAAGTGAGCTACCCGGACTCTCTCACTTCTGCAAGCCCAGGGCAGAAAAAGCGTGGCTCCAAACCCCGACCCCACACACACCCTCTAGGAACAGGCTCTGCCTTCCGCTGGCTTTGGCCACGCCGCGACGGACGCCAGGGCCAAGTCGAGGCAGCCGGCAGCGGAGCCGGACCCAGCACCCCCGCAGGAGGCGCGGCGCTGGGGAGCGGACCGACCCCTCGGTACCTTCTCCAGAAGCAGCCGTATGCGGTGCTCGTGCGAGCGCCGGGCCTCACAGCCCTGCCGCACGTAAGCCGGCGACACCAGCCGCTCGCTCGCCGCGAAGCTCTCGCGGTTCATGGCCTCGGGGCAACTGCGGCGGGGACTCGGAAGAACCAGTCCCACAAGCCAGACCCGAGACGGAACCAGAATGCAGCTCGCCCCCTGGACGGTACGGCAGGGCCCTAGGACCAAAAAAAAAAACCCAACAACAAAAAGCACGCCTCGCTGTGCACATGCGCGAACCCCCGGGCCGCAGAGGGAGTGTTTGAGCATGCGCGGGAGAGTCCGCGCCGGCGGGCGGCGGGCGAAAGCGCTGAGCTGAAGTTCGCCCCGCCTGGCTGCCTCTGCTTGGCCTGGCGAACCCCAGGGCTCGAGGCTGAGGAAGATGACGGCTGCTAGGAAGGACTTTGCCCCCTGCACCCCGGAGCTGAGGTTAGAGCGCAATTGCGCGGGCCGCTCTGAAGAAAGACTTTGCTATAGCGCTCCGTGTTTCAGTCCCGTTGGATGGTTGAGAGCTGCGCCCCGATTCCAGAACCTTCCATGTGCACCTTCCCTTCTGTTAACGACGCCCTGGGAAATGGCAGTGACTACAGAGGTTCTCCCGGTGACACCACCCACCACCCGAACATGACAAACGCAAGGTAAACTCTACAGGACGGGCCTTGGTTTTGCTGCCGTGTCCGCCAAGAGGCTAACATGGTGCCCAGAAAACAGCCGGTGCGGGGGAAGATAGTAAAACTGAGTAAATGTAGGACTGAGCATTGCACAACCTAGCAGTAAGTGCTGGAGGAACAGAATTAAAAGGGCAGGGTCCCTGCGTGCAGTTTCCTTGCGGCCTTCTGAGGTGAGCCTAAAGCTGTTCTTGACATCGCAGTCACCCAGGGGCGTGTTCGAACCTACGAGCATTGTCTGCACTCAGTTACAAGAGCTGGTTGTTAGGGGCCAGGCTGTGGCGTAGCGGGTAAAGCCACTGCCTATTTGGGCGCTGGTTCAAGTCCAGGCTGCTCCACTTCCGATCCAGCTCTCTGCTATGGCCTGGGAAAGCAGTAGAAGATGGCCCAAGTCCTTGGGCCCCTGCACCCGCGTGGGAGACCTGGAGGAAGCTCCTGGCTTCGGGTCAGCACAGCTCCGGCCGTTGTAGCCAACTGGAGAGTGAACCAGTGGATGGAAGACCTCTCTCTCTCTCTTTCCTCTCTCTGTGTAACTCTTTCAAATAAATAAATCAAAAAATAAATAAACCATAAAAAAAAAAGAGTCTCATGTTGGTAGGTTGGATTTACCTATAGTGAGAGCATTTACAGCACAGAAATCAGCAAATGCTACAAGTCACAACTGGATGCCAGGATTATTTCCTAAAGTTCCAGGAGACTGTGTCCGTAGTCCGTTGTGTCTGTCCTAGATAGCCTTTGCCTTCTCTATTATATTTAATCTGTGACCCAGATAAAGGTCTCGACACTATATCTGACACTATATACCTGACATGGCCTTAAAAGTTTACTGATACAGAAAAGTAATTGGGATGGAGCCTGGAAAGTAGACATAGTCTACCAAACTGTTAGCCGAGCACCCACTCTGAACACAGAGCAAAGGAAGGGAGCAGAGCAGTAGTTGAAAGCTTCACGGGCAAAGGTTTTCTTCCATCCTGCACCAGGTCTCAGGCTACTCCAGGCTCACCAATAAGGAATCCAAATGGTGAGGATATTTTTCAGGGTCTTAGAACAATCTGGATTTTCCCCTTGATTCCCTGTAGGATGCAGGCCAAATAGTGTCTAGGCATCAATTCCTCTGAAAGCCATTTTGTTTCACAGCCATGTGTCTTTGCTCTGCCTCTTGCCATGTGCCCTTGACCACCTGTACAATAGTACCATTGAGCCCTCACGTGGAGAGGAAAGCAGAACAGCAGTCATGCCCCAGGAGTTTGCTGAAGCCCTGCCTGTTTTTCCCAGTTGCTCAAACAGCTTGTGAAAGATCTGGTTTTCCCTTGTGAATCAGTTCTAACAGAATACACAGAGGATCTCCGACCTTATTCATATTCTAAGAAGGCTTGTGAGGTGAGCATTTGGCCTTGCGATCAAGATGCCAGTTGGAATGTCCACATTCCATACTAGAGTGCCTGGATTGGATTCCTGGCTCTATCTCCCGGTTCCCGCTTCCTGCCAGTGCAGGTCCTGGGAGGCAGCAGGTGGTGGCCCAGGTAGTTGGGTTCCTCTCCTCCTACCCACACGGGAGACCTGGGTTTGCTTCCCAGTTCCCAGCTTCAGCCCAGGCAAGTCCTAGCCATTGTGGGCATGTGGGGAGTGAACAGCAAATGAAGATCTCGTGCTCGCTCTTGCGCTCTCTCTCTCAGCCCTTCCCTTTTCTCCCTCTTTCCCTCCCTCCTTCCTTCTGTCTCCGTCTCTTGAATTTAAAAAATTGATGAATTTAAAACTTTATAAAGCAGGTTTGCACAAAGAACTCTATTTACTTACTCCCAGCCTTAGCAGGAAAGATATGTAAACTTTCAGCAGACTAATTACAGCTTTTCCAAGGCACGTTTTGTCACTTAGGATGTGCCCCATCTAAGGAGGAAAACACTGTCGGATAGACCAAGACTATCCAAAGTCACCCTAGACCTCTCACGAGATGACAGTTGGCAGGCTTCTAGATTTGGATATTGCAGGAAGTTTTTCTGGGATTGCAACATCTCGTTGTGAGTAGACTAACAGACCTTCTCTTCTGGGGACCCAGACACAGAACAGGCCACCGTTAACCTGCAGCTTGCTCTTCAGCAGCTTCCTTCGTTGGGCATCTCCAACCACAAAAATCCTCTTGTTTATTTGTGCATGAGTAATCTGGAAAGCCCTTGAGGTTTTAACTTCATAGGAACAATAAAGAAGAAGGAAGGAAGGGAGGAAGGAAGGGAGGGAGGGAGGGAGGGAGAGAGCAAGAGAGAGAGAGGGAAAGCAAGCCCAAGGCTGGGGCAGGCATTTGGCCTTTCCGTGGACACCTGCATCCTGTACTAGAGTGGCTTGGTGGTAGTCCCAGCTCTGCCTCCCAGTTCCAGCTCCCTGCCAATGCAGACCTTGGGAGGCTGCAGGGATGGTTCAACCTCTTGCATCTCTGCCACCCGCATGGGAGACCTGGATTGAGTTCCCAGCTCCTGCCTTTGACCTAGCCCATCCCAACCCAGACTTTGCAAGCATCTGAGGAGTGAATCAGTAGATATGAGATATATTCTCTCTCTTCTTCCTCCTCTCAAAAACAAAATATCCAAGGCTTACAATATATAACATCACCCTAGACCTGGTTGCAAAAATGTAGCCCACTTCTCTTGTGACAACAGCTGCTGTAAAACAAACAAGCAAAGACTTGTCAATGCCTCTGCTACACTAATTCTGAGTTATTTAGTTGATCTCAAAGTCGCACACGGTGAAAACACAACTCTTCTCAGATAGTGAATTAACCTCTAGTGATATTACTCTCTGCCGCTCAAATTACTATTTGCTACTGCAGCGTCCTGAATCCTGACACTCCTCTCCTGCTATTAGAAATGAGGTTTTATGATTATCTTTTCTCAGCTAGAAATTGTACTTCATTCGGCTCTACTAGAGAATCCCACTGAGAACCTTGACCTAATATTATTTGTTGATGACTTGTATCCCCAAATTGAAACTGGAGATGATAAAGTCGGATACGCTCTCATAGTCCTTTAGAATGTAGTCCTTTACCAGAGACAGTCAGCCTGACTGCGGGATGTATTGCACTGCCTACAGCCTGTCAGGTAGCCAAGAGCAGATGGAAAACATCGATTCAGACAGCGAGTATGCTTTTAGATTAGCACAGACTTACAGATACGTTGTGGGGAAAGCAGGTTTTTCATCTCTGCTGAAGCCTCTATCAAAACTGGACAATAAATTAAAGAACTTTTGAGATGAACTCCCATTTCTTAGATTGGTGATCATTATAAAGGAAAAGACCTATGCCAAAGGGGGTGACGCGGAGGCTAGAAGAGATATTCTAACAAGCGCGTCCTGCCAAACCAGCAGCCTTAACCAACGATGAGCCTTGGCCATCTGTGCTCCTTGTGAAACCCTCACTTCATGGGCCTCTGCAACTGCTGAAGAGATGAATATGGGGGCCGGCACTCTGATGTAGCAGGTAAAGCTGCCTCCTGTACTGCCAGCATCCCGTATGGATGCTGGTTCAAGTCCCAGCTGCTCCTCTTCCGATCCAGCTCTCTGCTCTGGCCTGGGAAAGCAATAGTAGCAAGTTTTTGGGCCCCTGTACCCACGTGGGGGACCTGGAAGAAGCTCCTGGCTCCTGGCTTCGGATTAGCACAGCTCCGGCCGTTTCAGCCAGTTGAGGAGTGAACAAGTAGATGGAAGACCTTGCTCTCTCTCTCTGCCTCTCCTCTCTCTGTGTAGCTCTGACTTTCAAATAAATAAATAAATAAATAAATCTTTAAAAAAAGAGATGATTATGAAGTATCACTGTTTAGCTTACGACTTTGGAGAGGAAGAATGGGAAAATTCTGGTTGTTCCCTTCATTCAGTGAATCTTTGAAACTCCCAAGACAGTCCTTGGGTGGCATCAGACGACTTCCAGTACAAATTACACTTCTCCTTGAAACTACTCATCGCGGCCCAGACAAATTAGTTGCTTAAATCAACATAAGTTGGTAAACTACAAAACTACAGCAGGGGTTATTTGGGGTCGTCTGTTACCTGTCAACAGCACAATCCTGGAAAGTCCATAGAAGTGGGACATGGCCCAGAACCAAACCTTCCACAGCTGTTCTTAATATCTTCAACTGATTTTTCAAAATACATTTTAGTCTCTTTACATCTGTTTACAGAGTGCTCTGCAGTGTTTCCTTGCCAAAAAGCTACAGCCCTCACAGTCTCTAAAAGCTGCTTGATTTTATGTTTCCAGCCTGGGTCAGAACAACTTCTATATCGTGACCAAGGCACATACTTTATGGAAAATCTTATTTTTTAAAAAGATTTATGTATTTGAAAGGTAGACTTACAAAGACAGAGGAAGAAACAGAGAGAGAAATCTTCCATTTGCTGGTTCACTCCTCAAATGGCCAAAATAGCCAATGCTGGCCAGGTTAAAGCCAGCAGCCAGGAGCTTCTTCCAGGTCTCCCACATGGTTGCAGGGACCAAGTACTTGGGCCATCCTTCCCTGCTTTCCCAGGTGCACTAGCAGGGAGCTTGATTGGAAGTGGAGCAGCTGGGACTCAAATGGACCCATAAGGGATGCTGGCATTGCAGGCAGTGGCTTGACCTGCTACGCCACAACACCCGCCTTTTATGGAAAGTCTTTAAGGTATTATCCTTTACTCACAACTACATTGTTCTCACTACCCACAATCTTTTGGAGAGGTTGAAAGAACCAATGATATTTTTAAATTAAAATTAGCAAAGCTTTCAAAAATTCCCCCCCACACACACACACTTTTTTTAAAGATTGATTTATTTATTTAGGCAGAGAGAGGTCTTCCATCCACTGGCTCACTCCCCAAATGGCTGCAATGGCTGGAACTCAGCTGATCAAAGCCAGGAGCCTTGAGCTTCTACTCAGTCTCCCATGTGGGTAGCAAGGGCCCAAGCACTTGCATCATCTTCCACTGCTTTCACAGGCCAAAGGTAGGGAGCTAGAGTGGAAGTGAAGCGGCCGGGACTCCCAGTGCCCATATGGGATGCCGGTGCTGCAGGTAGCCACACTGCAATGCCGGCCGCTTCCGAAATTCTAGAGCTTCTTAGCCAAACTTGCTACTCTGATTAGCCTTTATGACCACCTGGTTCGTTCTCATGGCAACACACGTGTTAGCCCCCTACAAATTGGTCACTGGAAGGCCCATGTATTTAGAGATTTCACCTCTGATAATAGACTCTATCCTACTGCACGTAGACACAACAAAATGTTACAAGTGATGCCTGTACTGTGAGTGGTCCTGTCCCCAAGATCATTATGCTGTTACTCCACAACCTCTTCCTAAACAGCTTCTGCATGATCTTCAACAAGAACATTTCATCTGTTGGAAATGTCTTAAAGAAAATGTCCTTGAACCTCATTTGAAGGAATCTTATCTAGCACAATTGATAGCAAATACAACAGTGAACCTTCAGGGATTCCATCTTTGGGTTCACATTTAACAACTGGAGAAGCAATTATGAAATCTATTCAGTTGAAAGGATGATCCAGTCAGTACTCCGAAGTGAGGCTTCTCCAAGCTCCTCCAATCTGCAGAAGCTGAAGCTGACCCAAAACCTTCAGAACAAGCTGACTACCTGAAATAGTGGACAGCTCCCTCCCGACACATGAGACCTGGATCTCTGTGTGGTTTGTGCTTTTTTTTTTTTTTTTAAGCCTTCTTGCTTATCATCCTTCTTGTTGTCATTTTATTAGACCTCTGGCTTTTATCCTCCCGTAAGGACCTTTTCTCTTTTATTCTACCCTTGTATAATTGCTAGGCTACAACATCTTCATTCTAATGTCATTCTTAGGTGATCCCAAACAATAGCCTTTTCCATCTTACTGACTGCTGGTTATGCCGTCCATTACCAAGCCCCATAACAAAAATCTCTGAACAGCTCCAATCCCGTTAAATAAGACCATAGGGACTTACAGCTGATGATGTTTCCACTTGCAATTACATGGGCAAGTGATCCTAAATGAATCAACCTGTGATTTTGCTAGTGCTCCTCTCTGCGTGAAAAGGAACCCATTATTATTATAATATATTGACCAGACTCCGGATTTTTAAATTTGAATTAAAAAACCTTAGTAGGGTGATGGGCCAAATACTTGCTACATGGAAGAACTAACTTGAGATCCAAATATGTATCCCAGTTAATATAAAGCCTTGGTTCCAACTTACTGTTACGAATAACTCCTTTTTTCCTGTTCTCCCATATGCCCCTACCAGATAAAACTTTCTTTGTGGCCAGGACATCTAGTCCTATTTGCCTCAAACTAACACTTTATGCAGTTTAAGAATAGTATTCCAAGTCAACGCACAGAGATTTTAATGCTATAAATCATCAAGAGTAAAAATCCTGACTCACGTGTAAGTTCCAAAACTGAAGCACCCATAATTATTCAGGTACTCTCCTGTTGCTGATTCCTTGTTTGTCTGTGTTCCCTGTGGTGAGAAGAATCCCATAGAAAAGACTGTACAAAACTTACCATTAACACAAGCAAGAGTTATTGATGATGCTACTCCTGCACTAAATGGAACACATACTGGTGGCAGTTCTTTAGCATGATCGGAGATGGACAGTCTCATTGCTCTGGGTTTCTTGTTAGTGACAATGTCATCTGTGCCACTGCTAAAATGTCTTGTTATACTCAGAGCAATTAAACAAGGGAGGTAGAGGGGCCGGCACTGTGGCCTAGTAGGCTACACCTCTGCCTGCAGCACCAGCATCCCATATGAGCGCCGGTTCATGTCCCAACTGCTCTTCTGATCCAGCTCTCTGCTATGGCCTGGGAAAGCAGTGGGGGATGGCCCAAGTCCTTGGGCCCCTGCACCCGCATAGGAGACCCAGAAGAATCTCCTGGCTCCTGGCTTCAGATTGGCCCAGCTCCAGCCATTGCAGCCACTTGGGGAGTGTACCAGCAGATGGAAGACTTTTCTGTCTGTCTCTCCCTCTGTCTGTCTGTAACTCTACCTCTCAAAAAAAATAAATAAAATCTTAAAAAAAAAAAAAAAAAAAGAGGGAGGGAGCTAAAAACAGGCTACTGACAACCTTAAGGAAAAAGCTGCTTGAACAATGACCTAGTTGATCTTCACGGCCCATGAGATTTGTTCCCTTGACCTGGATTGGACAACTAGGTTCCTAATTCGGAAGCATCTTAAAGGATCTACTCCACTACTTTTTCTTCTTTTTGTCATAATTGTCACAATGCTGGTCCTTTGCGTTCTATGTGGCGTCTCATATTCTGTGCAATCATTCTCTCATCAGATTATTATCATGATGACCAACCTCAACAAGATCAGAAGATCTCTGCAATTGAGTGTCCGCCAAACATAAGTGATGGTGAGTGACTATTCTCATAGTAAGTTCTGAATAATATCCTCTGTTCTCATTTGGGTGGTCCTCATTTATTTCTGGACCTTCATAAGGTTAAAAGTACCCAAAGGCAAAAATGCACTGTGTGTACAACTAGAGGGATCACTTTTTAGTATATTGAGAGAAGCTACAAGAGAAACCAATCAATGTAAATCCATTAACATGGTATGCATAAATCCCTGTTTATAGTACTAAGGCTAAGGTGTCAGGTACTAAAAAGTGCAAGACATATCTTTCCTTCAAGACCATATTATTTACTTGTAAAACAAAGCATAAACATTAAAAGATAGCTAATAGTACAAGCTAACTTAAGATCCACGAAGAAATCCATGTGACATCTGACCTCAAATTATAAAAATGGCTTCATGGAATAGGGACATCTAAGTCAAAACTTTGGGGATTAGCTCAGTAGAGATAAGAGAAAATCAGCACTTCAAAGGAGGAAATGATATGAGTTTGGTGATATGAGTTTAGCTTGGAATAAGGAAAAAGATACATTTCACAAATATTTGAATCTGGCTGGTTTGTCTTAAATCATAGAGGGATAAGCTAAAAAGTAGAGTCGGAGCTCCACATCAGAAGGTTCCTTGGCAGTTTAAGGAATCTGGCTGGTTTTCAGTGGGGATTGTGTTTCCCGGGAGGTTGCCCTACCATTCCCCCATGGCTGTCCTCCAGTCAGGCAGGCTACTGGAATCGCCAAGTACTGCATTGCACCCTCACATCTGAATTAACAGAGAGCTATTGAAGGATGGGGAAAACTGTCCAGTTAAAGAAACTACCCAATAAAACATGGAAGTTTTTTGTTACAAATAAAAGTTGGAACTGTAGAAGCAAGTATTACAGAGTAAGAATGTGGGATACAGTGGAAGCCAGAGAGAATGAAATAAGAGCAGAAATAAACAACTACCAACTTAGAATTCTGTATGTAGGGACACATCTTTCACAAATGAAGAAAACATGTTTCCAAGGATTAGTCTATGAAAAGGTATGTGCTGTAGTCTGACAGCACATAGTTGGTGTACCCTAGAATTTAGACTTTGAAACCTAGCTCCCAACGCAACAGTAGCAAGATGTGGGGCCTATAGAAAGGAATTAACTAGTAGGCATCTTTTCCTCAGAAATGGGATTAGTAACATTATAAGAGGTTGCTATGTGAGGACACAGCAGGAAGTCACATCTATAAAGAGCGAGTGCTCAGTAGCCAACACATGCACTGGCTCTTTGATCTTGGATTGAGGAGCCTCCAGAACTGTGAGAATGAGTCTATATTGTTTATAAGCCACCCAGGCTAAGGCAGTTTGTTAGAGCAGCCTGGATGGACTAAGAGAGTAGGTAGGAGGCCTAAAATTAAGGCTCAGTGTTAACTAGTACCTTGATATCTGGAGGAATCAGGACCTCAAATGGCCTAAACACAAGTTCTTCATCTCACTCTGCTCCAGCAAATAAAGTCAAAATAGTTGTACTAGAAAACAATGATTAGCCTAGATTTTTAAAGACAGAAATAATTGTAGACAGTTTACCAAGGATGATGTAAACAAAATACTACAGAAATGTAAAAAGTTAAAAGTAAAAAATGGAAAAAAAGAAATCTTGTATAGATTATTAATTTTAGACAAAATAGACTTTAAAACAAATGACAATACTTATAATACATGAAGAATACTTAATAGTGATAAAAGCTTCAATTCACCAGGAAGATACAATTCTGAATTTGTATACATGTAATAACACAGCTTCAAAATACATAAAGCTAAAACTGAAAGAAAAAAACTGAAGAATCCCCAGTCATAATGGGATAGTATAAGACACATTTTGTAAACTGATAGAGAAAATTGATGGAAAACAATCAATAAGGCTATAGGAACACCACATTTAGGAAGCTTGACCTAATGTACACCCACAGAACAACCGCAGAGCACGCGTTGTCTGCAAGCTCACACAGACCATTTACCAGAAAGGACTACATGCTGGGTCATAAAAGAAACCCCAACAATTGTAGCCCTGTGCACCTCTGACACAACACAACTAAGCTGGGCGTCAACACAAAAACCAGCCTGATGTAGAAACTGAGCAGTGTTCTAAGTAACACATAGATCAAAGGAAATATAGTAGAAATTATAAAGTCTTTTGAACAGAATTTTAATAAAAATCCCACACATCAAGACTTATGAGAAACATCGAAAATCATGCTCAGGGGCACACAAATATGTTTAAAAGTACAAAACAGAAAAAGGAAAAATGACATAATCTCTTTTGAGCTAAGATTTAATCTCAACAGTTAGTAAGAGAACAGAGACTCAACCCGCCAAAAATAGAAGAAATTAAATAATTAGGACCAGAAATTAGGGAAATAGAAAATGCTTTAGTCCATCCCAGGGCTGCTATAACAAGATACCACAAACTGACAGGTTTAGAAACATCAGTAAGCTGTTGAGCCCGGTCCTGGGTCTGAGAAACCCAAGGTCAAGGCCCAGGCAGATTCAGTGTCTGATGAGGACATTGAATGATGGTGGACCGTAGACAGATGGCCTTCTTCTCTCCGTACCCTCACTTGGAAGAAGGGGCAAGAGGCCTCTCTAAATACTAACCCCATTCATTAGAGCTCTACCCTGGTGACCTAGTCATAGAGTGAAATGAGAGCAGTCCCAGAGTACCTGGGTTCCCTCTAATCATCCGAATAGGAGCTGCCGCCCTGGCTGTGTGCCAGGCACTGTTTTCTTTCTTTTTTTTTTTTTAACTTTTATTTAATGAATATAAATTTCCAAAGTACGGCTTATGGATTACAATGGCTTCCCCCCCATAACGCCCCTCCCACCCGCAACCCACCCCTTTCCCACTCCCTCTCCCCTTCCATTCACATCAAGATTCATTTTCGATTCTCTTTATATACAGAAGATCAGTTTAGCATACATTAAGTAAAGATTTCAACAGTTTGCTCCCACACAGAAACATAAAGTGAAAAATAATAGATGATTTTTTAAATGATGATGAAATCAGATCAGACCTATTGTCATGTTTAATCCCAGTGAGAGTCAAGTTGGGAATTGATAATTTCTTTTTTTTTTCACAGAAGATTAGTTTAGTATACATTAAGTAAAGATTTCAACAGTTTGCACCCCCCTAGAAACACAAAGTGAAATATACTGTTTGAGTACTTGTTATAGCATTAAGCCTCAGTGTACAGCACATTAAGGACAGCGATCCTACATGAGGAGTAAGTGCACAGTGACTCCTGTTGTTGACTTAACAAATTGACACTCCTGTTATCCCATAATTTCTTTATCCAGTCTACCGTTGATGGGCATTTAGGTTGGTTCCAGGTTTTGGCTATTGTGAATTGTGCTGCAATAAACATTAGGGTGCAGACCGCTTTTTTGTTTGCCAATTTAAATTCCTTTGGGTAAATTCCAAGGAGTGGGATGGCTGGGTCTAATGGTAGGTTATATTCAGGTTTGTGAGGAATCTCCAGACTGATTTCCATAGTGGCTTGACCAGTTTGCATTCCCACCAACAGTGGGTTAGTGTCCCCTTTTCCCCACATCCTCGCCAGCATCTGTTGGTAGATTTCTGTATGTGAGCCAATCTAACCGGGGTGAGGTGAAACCTCATTGTGGTTTTGATTTGCATTTCCCTGATGCCAGGCACTGTTTTCAATGGCCCCACTTCCTAATCCCGACACATTGAGAGTTAGAATTTCTTTTTCTTTCTTTTTTTTTTTTTTTATTTAAGACAGGGAATACTTTATTCAAAACCCATCAGAGAAATGAACCGCTTGGGTCCCCAACAAAGCATTCATGTTTCAAAGCATAACTCAGTAATTGTATATGAGAGCATATGCTGCTACATACAAATTAACTGATCAGACCCCAATTTACACTGTTTAAAACAGAAAAAGCTTCCCTGTAAAAGCAGCACCTTTGCTTTTAGTATTTCTCTCCTTCCTCCTCACCCTCACCTTCAACAGAATCCACACCAACCTCCTCGTAATCCTTCTCCAGGGCAGCCATGCCCTCATGAGCTTCAGAAAACTCTCCCTCCTCCATGCCCTCCCCCACGTACCAGTGAACAAAGGCATGCTTGGCATACATCAGGTCAAACTTGTGGTCCAGGTGAGCTCAGGCCTCGGCCACGGCTGTGGTGTTGCTCAGCATGCACACAGCTCGCTGCACCTTGGCCAGGTCTCCACCAGGCACCACCGTGGGAGGCTGGTAGTTAATGCCAACCATGAAGCCAGTGGGGCACCAATCCACAAACTGGATGGTACGTTTGGTCTTGATGGTAGCAGTGGCAGCATTGACATCTTTGGGAACCACATCACCACGGTACAGCAGGCAGCAAGCCATGTATTTACCGTGGCGAGGGTCACATTTCACCATCTGGTTGGCCGGCTCAAAGCAGGCATTGGTGATTTCTGCTACAGAAAGCTGCTCGTGGTAGGCTTTCTCAGCAGAGCGTATGTGGCCAGAGGGAAGTGGATGCGGGGGTAGGGCACCAGGTTGGTCTGGAATTCTGTCAGATCAACATTCAGGGCTCCATCAAACCGCAGGGAAGCTGTGATAGAGGATACAATTTGACCTATCAACCTATTCAGGTTAGTGTAGGTGGGGCGCTCGATATCGAGGTTTCTACGACAGATGTCATAATGGCCTCATTGTCTACCATGAAGGCACAATCAGAGTGCTCCAGGGTGGTGTGGGTGGTGAGGATGGAGTTGTAGGGCTCCATCCACCACAGCTGTGGAAACCTGGGGGGCTGGGTAGATGGAGAACTCCAGCTTGGACTTCTTGCCGTAATCGACAGAGAGGCGTTCCATCAGCAGGGAGGTGAACCCAGAACCGGTTCCCCCACCAAAGCTGTGGAAAACCAAGAAGCCCTGCAGGCCCGTGCACTGGTCAGCCAGCTTGCGAATTCGGTCCAGGATGAGGTCAATGATCTCCTTGCCAATGGTTTAGTGCCTGCGGACATAG